CTCAGGTTCACAATTTATTTACCAATGATGTTTTGGAGAGTCTAATAAAAATGGCTAGCATTGCTTGTTAGCGATGCATCATTGCTATCTTTATTTTTGCCTGTAGCCTACATTATATCAGTCATTATTGCAATAAAATGGACCTAGCTATAAAAAAAAAGTCACCTGCACCCCTTCTAAATTTAGACAACATTAATAATTTTTCGAAAAAATGGAGGTATAGAGACAAACATGCACAAAAAGTATATCTAATTAATCTAACAATAATAAACAGTAATATATAGTGTAAAAAAATTCTTGTTAGTGTAACTACACATTAGGATATAAAAAGTAAAAAAAGATAGATAAGTATCTTACCATATTTGATAAGTTAATAAAAAAACTATTTTAAGAAGTGGACAGCTTACTATTGTAGCTGACAGGTGTGAAACTGAAAACAAAACTCCTATCAAGAAATATAAGATCTTAATTGAAGACATAGCAGTGCTAACAATATCAAAGTAACTTGGCAACGTCAAATTAATAAAAAATACTTGCGATGTTATTGGCTAAAATCAGGCTCCAGGGAAATTTATAGTTCAACAATTAATAATAGAACTATAATCTTACAAAAATAATCAAAAAATTCAATAGTGGTATAGGAAAAAAGTAGTAACTATATGTGGTATAAAGTAAAACTTTTGAAACAATTATAAGGTAATAACAGTATAGGGTAAAGTTCATAAACATGATAATATAATGATGGTATTGGGTAGAACTTAAAATATGGTCAAAGTAAATAAATATCATATAATATATAAAAAAAAACAACAAAAAGGGTCAGGGTAACAACATTCGTTTTTGCTATGTCTTATAAAATTTGTCCTACAACTATTTTATTTTAACAATTATTTTAGGCAGATGTACTTACACATGGAGAAAAACTCCCTGATGTAGTTACATCTTTCCAAAGATGTTATTAGACATTAATCAATTTTCGGATGTTGTAGGACAGAAGTTAATTCAGTAAAGATAAAAATCAAATGATTTTGAATAAAAATGTTCGGATGTTATTTCACTACTTCAAGGATGTTGTTAGACACATGTAGTAATCTTTTCCCCAGTATAAAAGATACAGATGTGTGACTAACGCAAAGATAATGACATATTAAAAATAAACAAACTTGTAATATATTCAAACATCAAATAACTAAAATTTATAAAAAAATGGTCTAAACTTTGTATGTCTACATTATTCATGGGCCGAATGTATTAAAATATCTTTAATCAATACTGTATTGAAATAGGTAGGTGTGGGTATCATTGAAAATAATTCTGCTAAATAGGGGTCATCTCTAATAATATGCCAATGCTTCACAACAATGTTATTGATATCTCTCCTGATATCACAATAAGGAGTCACTATTGGTAATATATCTACATATATATTTATAGGGGTTTTATTAATTAGTTGATTTTGACTAAATTGCAACGCTTTAGTAATTTTAAAATTAATATCTTCCACTATATAACCTCTTAACACAAAGATTTGAGCTAAAGCTAGCAGTTCTTTAGAAAGATTTTCCTGTTCTGATATAATTTTATTAAAGTGTAATGTTTGGCTGTATATAATGCTTTTCTTTAGATGGTATGAGTGATTAGATTCGTGATGTAGAAGGGTTATTGTATCTGTTGGTTTTCTGTATAAAGTACTTTGAATACGTCCATATCTGTCCTTGTATAGTGACATGTCCAAAAAATTAATTGAAGAGTCAGATTTATTAAAAATAAATTTAATAGTTGGATGAGTTTTATCCATGAAGTTATATACTTCATTTTATTCTTCCATATATCCATAAAACAAGAAAAAAATGTCATCAAGGTAATGTTTATAAAAAGAAATCAAATTTGGGAACTGGGTTCGAATTTTATAATCTAATCTACCCATAAACAAGTTAACATATGGCGGTGCCATTCTTGTACCCATTGATGTACCATCAATTTGTTTGTAGAGCCAATTAGCAAATTGGAAAACGCTAGATGAAAGAATGGTTTCTAAAATTATATTAATATAGGCTAAAGATGGGTATAATGGAGATCTCTGATGAATTGGAATTTTGTTTTATATAAAAGATGGTTGCTTCAATTCCTTTTTGATGTGTGATATTGGTATAGAGTGATGTGACAAAAAAATAGTTATAAGAAGTAAATTGGCGGGCTTGCAGCATATAAAGAAAATGAGTAGTATCTTTGATATATGAGGGGAAAGATTCTGCCACTGGTTGTATAAAGTGTGTGCTAAATTTAGATAAATAGTCTTTTGGGCCATTACATGCTGAAACAATAGGTCGTAATAGTGTGCCCTCTGTGAGTTTTCGGTAATCTGTAAAAAATTGGGCAGCAACAGGGTGTATCAGGTTGTAAAAAACTTGCTGTTGTTTTGTCGATTATGTAGTGGACAACCATGTAGTCTATTAGAGTATTTATATCATTTAGTATTTTTGCCATTGGATTATGGGACAGGAGTTTATAAGTATTAGTATCATGTAATAGTTGGTTTATATTATTCTCATACTGTACCTTACGTATTCATTTCCTTCTAATTATGTACTTTCTCCAATTCTATAGACTCACTAATGAAAGATTGTTTGTAAGTTTAGGTTTGGGTTTTTTTATAATTGTCTCAATGTCTTGATCAATCTGTAAAAAAAATTTATTTAAGTTTTGGTATTTGTATTTAGAGGTGTCCATTGCGATTTTTTGAGGAACAGGTGAGTTAATTGATTTTTGTCATCTTTTTCAAATAACATTCTTAGATTAATGGATTGTTTAAATCTCTCCACTGCTTTACTAAATAAATTACCATGAATATAATTCAAGTAAGGTATAAATAAAATACCTTTTTTAGGATTTATTGTTCCACATTTGACAAAACATATTGTGAAAAATTAGTTATTAGTTTCTCAAATAGTTTTGTAAGTTTTTCTTTCTACTTGATCAAATGTTTATATTCTTTTTCTGCTTTTTGCATAACTTGATGTTAAGAATAAACTTTTCATTGAAATTGGTGGATAAATTCTTTGTTCATGTCATAGGTTGAATATAGATAAGTCATTGTTTTAGGATGCAAAAAGTAACAGATATTAGAAAATAATATACATGAGAGAATCTGGTCATTAAGATATAAGTTAAAAGTAAGGATATGAAATGAGTAATGAGAATATAATTATATAAAGCATAAATTATTGATATGAAGCAGAAACAAAATTATTCTTCTGTGGAAACAGCAATTATGTATGTGACCATATCAGTCACATACATAATTGCATTATATCGGTCACATACATAATTGCATAATCGCATTATATTCTTAACAGAAAAATAATTACAGTTTGTAAATTGCCTCTTAGTAGAGCTTTCTTAGAAGAAAAATTGTGTTAGGTTCCTTTACAGAATGGATACAAAAAAAACTAAATAAAGTGCAAAATTAACACTAAACAAAATCACTATATTAAAAGACATGATTAAAATTACTTAAAACTAAGAAGTGACCTAAAGAACTGACACTTTTATACATATATACATATATCTACCTATATACTTATCTACATACATATTTATAGATAAACACATACCAATGGTTGTCAAAGGAAGTATTAAATGTTTCAGTACAATAGAGTCAAGTATTACTAGAAATCAGCGTAAAAATTTTTATTACTGAACCACATCTAGCCAACCCAGCCATACTACAAATTACCTATTGATATAGCACCTATACATAAGATTTATATTATCTTCTGGTCATAAAAGCTAGCTCAGATATGAACCAGAAACAAAATTATTCTTCCGTGGAAACAGCAATTATGTATGTGACCATATCTGTATATTATAGTTATTTTACTAGAAATCAGCGTGAAAACTTCTATTCCCAAGACACATCTAGCCAACCTAGCCATACTAAAAATTACCTATGATTGATATAGCATCTATACATAGGATTTATATTATCTTCTGGTTCTAAAAGCTAGCTTAGATTTGTACCAAAAACAAAAGCACTCTCTCGCGGAAACAGCAGTTATGTATGTTACTGTATCTATGTATTTTAATCATAGTTGTAAGTAATAATGATAATTAAACTAATAATCAAATAGTGATATAAACTGCATAAATGATACAATGTAAATATATATATATATATATATATATATATATATATATATATATATATATATATATATATATATATATATATATATATATATATATATATATATATATATATATATATATATATACACATTGTTTTTAGTTACACTTACTAAAAGGGGTGAGGGTAACAATAATCATTTTTGCTATGTCTAATAACATCCATGCAACAGCATCTCAAATTTCATTGATGTATAATAACATCTGTCCAAAATAAATCCAAAATTATATTGATTTATAATGGCATCTGTGCAACTACATCTATAGATTTTTCGGATGTAACTAAACCTGAAAAAAATTATTTTTTAATAATGCATTATTTTAACCAGATGTAGTTACACATCTGATTTTTTTTGGATGTAACTACATCCACCAAAAAAAATTTATTATAATGCATTATTTTAAGCATTATAAATTTTTTTTTTTTTAATTATTTTAAATTTTTTAATTACTAAACCCTCAGTTGATGTAGTAGCACTCCGTTGCGAGTCAGGCTTTTTGTCAGTCATTATATCAGCACTTATATAATATAATAATTATATAAGTAACTATATAAGTTTAGGCAGATGTAGTTACACATCAAGAAAAACTCCCAGATATAGTTACATCTTTCTAAAGATGTTATTAGACATCAATGAAATTTTGGATGTTATTGGACAAATGGTAATTTAGTAAAGAAAAAAAGGGGATGATCTTGGACAAAAATGTGCAAATGTTATTTCACTATTTCATGGATGTTGTTGGACAGATGTAGTAATCTTTTCTCACTATAATTTCTCTAAAGCAAATTTCTAAACTCTTTTTTTTCTTATTAGAAAGAAAAAGATGAAATAAAAATTCAAAAAGTTTCTGACTTAAGGGAAGATGGCTCAACTCATAGCTTAGAAAAGGCTCTTCTAATGGTTTACAACAAGGCCAAAGGAGTTGAAAACTTCTCAGGAACAGATCTGGAAAAATGTTCAACAAATTCAAAAGAAATGATTGTCCAAAGGATCAAATGTATCAAGGTGATTCATCAAATCAGAGAAATTTTATCAAAGCAATGTTACATTGGAGTTGTTGGAATTCAGAATGCAGGTAATTTCAATAAACTAAATCAGGGTATGGTCAGGGTTTATATGGTAAATTGAAATCAGAGGCAAATCTTTTTTATCTGGGTCAGGGAATATCAGGGAAAGTCAGGAAATTCACTTCGCGGTCAGAGAAAACAATTGGTGTTTTTCTTAGTAAGTCAGGGAACAATAAAACATTTCAAATTCGAAATTTTTTATATACTAAAATATTATATTTAATAATTTTAAATATAAATTATTTCATTGGCTCTTTAAACTTTCACTTTTGAAGTTTTCAATTTTATGAAATTTAATAATCTAATGTTCATCTAAGTTTTTTGTCAATCATTTTTAAATTTTAAATAATTTTAATATATTCTTAGTTATTAACTTTTATTTTTGATATTTATCCAATTTTTTAAAGATTTCACATTTTTAATCCTTTTTTTTTGTATCAAAAATTATAAAAAAAAAAAAAATTATTTTTATTTTTATCTCTTGTTGTATTTTACATGACTATGATTGATAGCACATAAACTATATTTATTACCTACAGTTGTATAAAAGGTATTAAATATTCCTTTATTATAAATAAATGTTTTTTTGTTTTATACAAAAAATGTAGGCCCGATTGGTATTGTCTTAAAACATTCATTTTGTTTGTGCTATTTTTCTTTTCTAGATGCTTAAAAAAATAAAATAAATATATTTTAATGATAGCTGGTTTTGTTCTGAATTTAGTCATGGATATGTGAAAGTTCAGTGGACACTCAAGCAAATTTAGACTTTGCCAAGTCGGTATAGCATTGAGCAACATGGATGTTGTCAAAAAGTTGTCAACAACATGGACGTTGTCACAATATTATCAACAACATGGAACTTGGCAAGGTCAAACTAAAATAGATTGTTAACTATGGAATTGCACCTTACTTCAGAGAACTTTTAAAAGTACAAATCTGTGAATCAGAATTGGTGACCGATCCAGGATTTGTTGTTGTTTGAGATGACTAACTTCCAGACATGGAGCAGACTCCAACTATTGGTATATTTATACTTATATCAAATAATGAGGCTAATATTCATTGATAAATTTGAAGTTTCATTCAAAAATCTCAGCGTTCAAAAATTTTGATCATACAAAGTTAAAACACCCCTCAATTTGAGGGGGCTACAAAATTTTTTTGATCATAATTTTTGAACGCTGAGAGATGATACTATTTAACTTAAAATTTATCAATGAATAAAAGTCTAGTTGAGAGTAGTACAAAAAATATTTTATCAACTTGTTGCCCCTCGCGTTTGAAAGAAGGGGGGGGGGGGTTCTGATGCAGTCAAAGGACTTTTTCATGCCCAGCCTCCAATCACAATTTTTTGCAAAGCCTCATTATTTGACATAATTATAAACATACAAATGCTTGGAGTTTGCTTCATGTCTGGAAGTTAGTTATCTCAAACAAAAAAAAATCCTGGATCTGTCACTGATCAGAATAGCTGGCTGTTTGTTATGACAAAAGTTTGAACAAAGTCATTCAAGAATCTGATATCTTTTTAGTAACCAAGTTGAAGTACGGTATTGGGATTATATGTGATACATGCCACTGCAGCAGACTTACTTAAAAGATTAAATGATAATTTATCTGGTTTGAGTTTATCTACACATGTGTTGTGCTTGTTTAGATAAACTCAAGCTCAATATCAATGGATAGTCCTAATGTATACTGGATGGTTTTCAGGATGCATTTGGAAAGAGAAGAAGTTATTTAAACTAAACTAATTAAATTAAACTAGAAAATTAAACTAGCAAATTTTAGCAATTGGTTACAATTGGTCACATCATTTATGGAGTCTTTCAAACAGCTACAGAAACCACAAGTTAGGAGCTAAAGGCTATCCTTTTATGGATCTGTTACAGATTTTACAGTCTTTCCCCTGCAGTTTTGTCCAATAAGGTTCATAAATGTATTTTAACGTTCTAACATTTTATTTTATCTTTAAAATCTATGTTAATAAGAGAACACATTTTCAATAATTTTTCATATTATTTTTATCTTTTTTGATGGGTTAAGGATCAACAGGTAGCATCAGGACTCAAAGAGAATTGGCCGAATATAATAAAGATTGATATTTGGCAGAATCTACCAGCTTTAAAAAGGCCATCTTTAAATAGTTATTTGGCTGTAAAAAAGCAGTTAAAGATAAAATACTTTTAGTATTTTATCTTTAACTTTTACTTTTTTTTTTACTTTTAGCTTTTATTTTTCTGCTATATTGCAGAAAAATAAAATATATTGCAATAAACTATATTGCAAACCTTTTGCAGCCATATCTTAAAAAATATCAAACAGATAAGCCAATGTTGTCTTTTCTGGGCAAGGACCTGCAGATATTGCATAGATCCAGATAGATGTAGTTGGTTGTTAAAACTGATGTTCTCCTTAAATGCAACTCTGTTGTTAACTTATTAGAGCTTGATGTTACTGGTAAAGGTATTTATCTAAAGATAAAAGATATTCATTTTAGATTTTTAACTCAAAAAAACTTCAGAATTTATTACGTAAAGTTAAAGTAAAATCTGCAGATGTAAAAAAGTTTAACAAAAAAGCTGCAAATATGGTAATTGTTAAATTGGAGGAAATCAAATAAGTCTATTACATCATTGCACGGTAAGAAATGCTAATGTATTTGATCCAAGTCTACCATCTTCTATAAACTTGGTTAAATTACGAAGCAAGATGAAACAACTCTTGGCTCATCTATTATCATTAATTAAAGATATAAGACTATTAACGCGATATAAGATTATTAACGCGACATTAGCAGATAATTTTTTGCTATGCTACTCAAATCTGTTGGCGGTTTTATCTCGAGATTCTGAAAACGCAACCCCCTTTAAGTTGTGAGAGCGCTAGACTAGATGCTTTCTTTTTTCATAAATCTTCTATCAATATACCAAAAAAGTTAAAATCTGTTCTAATATTGGTTCTAGTTACAAGTCATGGTCAAGCAAGTGTAGAAAGAAGATTTTATGTTAATAAAATTGTATTTAAAGTTAATTTGAAAAAATAATTGATGATATCAAGAAAGATGATAGTAGATCATATGCAAAAGAACAACCTAATACCTTCAACAATAGAATTAACAAACTAGTTTATAAAGTCAGTTGAAGGTGCTAAAAAAATCAGCTATATATTTAGCACGAGAGAAAGAATGCTAAGCAAAATGAACGCAATTTAACGCAGTTAGAAGTTTTAACCAGAGAAATCATGATGTAGTAAAGCAAAAAAAAATTCCTACAAGATTTCTGCAATAATTAAGATATTTAATTTATTTATACCATAAAAGAGGCGAAAAAATGATATGGTAATTAAAGGAAACGACTTGAAAAGGAAGAGCAAAGAAAAACGTGTTGAAATTAAAACTTTGGAAAAGGTAGTCAAAATTTTCGAGAGAAAAAGAAGAAAATGATATGAAACTTAGTTTTTTTTTTGTGAAACTTTAAGAATACTTAGTCATAAAAAGGAATATTTTTTTAAATAGTTTTAAATATTAGAATCTAGACTTTTAAACATATAAGTCTTTCATTAAAAAACATATGAACAGTCATATATACTTTTATATTATATATGTGTCCATGCATGTTTATGTGAATATTTTATTTTCTATAAGCGAGTGTCAATGCAACTCAATTTTTTTCTGAAAACTATATATAATTATTACAATATATAGTTGACAAGTCAGAAGAAAAAAGTTATTTTTTTGAATGAGCCTGAGGAACAAATGGGTATTCAGGTATAAAAAAATCAGTGAAATTACTTATGGTTTTGAGTTAAATACGGGAAATCTTTCATTAAGAACCTGTATAAACCCTGTAAACGATATTTTGATTTAATTTTACCTTATGAAAAATTTATTATTGACTTGTTGTCTTTTGTTTTAGCATCTATCAAACTATATTTATTGTTTTATAGGAAAAACTACTCTGTTAAAAAAAATATGGGATATACAAGGAGAAGTTGGAATGTTAAAACACACAACAAAGCCACAAACATATAAAATTAACAAGAATATTTATGTTGTTGACTTCCCTGGCAACAACAGCTTAGACTACCACTCTAAGACATTTTCCATATGTGGATCAATGAACAACCTCATTATTCTTGTCACCCTTTTTACTGGAGACATCAATGAAATGATTAGTAAAGAAATTGCAAATGTCTTCAAGGTCATGGAAGGATCTGACTCCACTAAAGTAAAAATATGTAATTTTGTTTTAAAACTTATAAAATATACGAAAAAAAAGATTAATAAATAATACTCATGCACACACTTAACACACACTTTTCGTAATTAAGTGTTTTTGCAATAATGATCTTTTTTACCATCTTCTTGTCATCAGCAAATGTGATGATTATTGCGATAATACCATCTTTCATTTCACTGAATTTTTATTTCATTGAATTTATCTAATATACAGCGTCAATAATAATAACGTTAATTCACAATATTGCACTGCTTAGCATTAATATGCAAATGTTATTTTTTATTTTTGCCTCCTTTTTTGATATTTTTTAATATTATTTCATTTTTACAATACTATTAGGTCATTCTTTGCATCAATCAATGTGGTCCAAAGCTGAAAGATTTGATGGCAGAACTTGAGGAAATCAAAAACGAACCCGAACATCCGAACGACGAACTGTGGATGAAAAATTTAAAACAAAAAAAAACTGGAATGGCGACATCATTGGCTCAAAAATTTTCAGACAAGCTAAATGAGTACTACAAGGGAAAGTTCTGGTAATTATTTAATGTCAAATAATCTTTTAATTATTGCATGTAAGTTTTGTGAATAATAAAATTGCAATAAAAGTGTAATTATTAATAATAATTGAAAAACTGTATAAGCAACACATATTTTTACACAGAAAATAATTGCTATGAATCTTAAATGATAAGGCTTAACTACAAGTGTGGCTTATAAAACAAATTTTAACAAGGGCATTTAAAATCGAAGAACTATTTGAAAAATATTAAAAGTTAACTTTTATGTTATATTGTTTTTAGCATTAGCCATAATGATATTCTTTTTACTGATTGGATGGTTGGGGACGAAAGTTCTGGCGATTCTTCAACATTTGGTCTTTTTGGAGTTGAAGAAATTAAGAAAAGAATTCGAGAATATTTAATTCAGTACAACATCTACGATAAGAATGACGAGGAACTGAACAAATGTTTCGAGAAAAGAATGATATTGAAATAGTATTACTTTTACAAAAATCATTTGTACAGACAAAAATCATTTGTAAAGTCATTTAATATTTTATAATAAAGTAACTTTTTGTACATTTAACATAAAACATTTTTAATATAATAACCATTTGTACATGATAACTTTTTCATTGTAAGGAAAATAAATATTTTAACCTAATAACTTGTAATTATAGGGTAACTTGAGGTAAAGAGAGACTTATTGATAATTTTGATCTGATTAAATATAAGAACTCAAATAAAAAACATAAAGTTATTTTATAATGTAATTTCTCTAAATATATCAAAATATATGAATATACTATCAAATCTGCTTGCATAAAAATAATTTTCATCTAAAACAAAAAACACTATAGGAAGTAAAACAATATTAATTGAAAAAAAACTGAAAAAAAAAATTGAAAAATTTTGAACACAAAGTTTCATGTTTATCAAATATTTAATAAAATCTATTGACAGTCGATTGGTTAAAGTTTATGAGTTGTATGGCGGTAGCGATAGCAAAAATCTTTGTCACAAGCAAAGTCTATAAGGTTTAAGCTTATGGTATGAAAGCAATGACCATTAAATATAAGTAAAACTTAGTTTATCAAGGAGCGTTGTACGTTTTTAGTTTTTCTTAAAAATCAAAGCAATTTTTAATACAAGACATTGTTTAAATGGATCTAAAATGGTACGATACGATAATGGATCTAATACGTTACAAGAGAGCTCAGGTTTTTGTCAGGAAAAATCATTCGGAGACACTGTACGTTTCCTTAAGGGCTCAGAATCTGAATTTGGTGAATTTGGTGTGCACGCAGTTGAGTCATTGAGTTTAAAGTATTCTCTAGAAATGTGAAACCTTTGTACGTATTTTTAAAGCAAGTTCTTTCCAATGGATCAATTTTCACTGAAGTGTCATGATTTTCACTGAAGTGTCATGACTTTCACAGTGATAAGATATTGACTCGATATTGAAGCTGTCGAAATTTTTATTAAAAACGACTATCAAAACCATCGCACAGTGACTCAGAAAGGTAATGGCCGAAAACCAAAATTTGAAAAAAATATCTTTTAATATAAAAAATCACTCTAAACTACTGAAATAGTAGTTTATTATAAATTAAATAAAAATAAATTGGTTTTATTTCTTAGCGTGCTTAAAAACTCCCTAATATGTGTCTAGGTATAAAACAAAAAGATGCTGCAAATTTTGCAACATTTTTTTCGAAAATTTTTTATACGTAGTCAAATTATTATAACAAACTGAAAATACCAAAAGAGGCATAGTTTTAAGATTCGTAAAGGTTAGTCTATCTGTAATGAGAAATAATCCAAAATAAAATTAGTATGTTTTTAAATTTTATAATTTAATTTTTTCATAATAAAAAATCACGAAAGTTATTTAATTTAATCCATTTTTTTAGAAATATAAAAGACGTTATCTTAAATTGCCTACAGGTACCAACCCTCCCTATGTATTTTTATGATTGTCAGAAGCAATTTAAATAACTTCCTAAATAATTCAGTTGCCCAAACTTGCCCCGTTATCCTTAATGTCCATGAAAGTCAAGCTATCGTTATACTTATCTTCCTACTATTTTTAGTTTAACTAAGATTTAGTACGGAAAAAATGTAAAATAAAATAAAAAATCTTTAAGTACTTTATTGACCTTTCTCTTTAAAGTTATTTTGGTGCCCCAAGAAGACCTAACGGTCTTGTCACAGAGCACTGCGGAAGTGCATTTAATTAGGAAGTTCACGCCTTTTTTCTTTCCGTGACGCGAAAATCCTGGATCTCCTGCTGTTAAAGCAAGTGCTCTAACCACTGCGTCACGCCGCTTTAAATTCTACAACGAGCAACTCCATGATATTTTGTTCAAATATTCGAACATATTTTTTAAAATTATGTCGACGAAAAATTCTAATTGTTTTAAAAATAATTTTATTTCCAAAGTATCAAAAAAAAGATAAATATTTTGATATCATCGTAGATGCAATACTTTCGTGCATTAGCGATAAATACAAAATAATATATTTATGATAAATTAAAAAAAACTTAACTTTGTATAATTTAACTTTTTCAAAAAAATAAACTTTGCATAACTTAAAATGGTAAAAACATTTTGCATTTATTTAATTTTTTTAACTGTGTAATCAGCTTTGGATTAAACTTATAAGTAAAATAAGCTCAAGTTAAGGGCAGCGGACCAATTGGAGCAGCGTACAAGTTAGTTGATTTTTTTTCTTCCTCTTTTTACACTAAGTAGGTTAAAATTTTATATCATACTTTATGAAATATTAAATACTGCTTTAATTCAATTCAGGGAGAAATGTGAATTACGTAAGGTTTCATGTATATCAAACTTAATACCAAACTTGAAAGAACTACTGTCAGAAAAAAAAAACATGAATTCTTGATTGTATATCTATTGCTGTCATTGACAATGACAACCTAATTTCATCGACACTCAGCAATGACAACCTAATTTGCATCGACACTCTGAGATTCAAATGATTTAACTTCTTTTCTTCTCTTGATTTGACCATTGATAATGAAAATCAAAAGTGTGACACCAGAAAAGAATCAGAAAACACTGTTAACAAAATACAAGAATTGGAATTTGTACTCATGCTCATATATATACAGTATCGGACAAAACAAGTGCAACCAAATAATGCTATTTTAGTTTCTTTATATAAAAGTGCTGCATTTTTTCAATTTAGAGAAATAACTATGTAACTGTTTAGAGACAACGTTCTTCAAGTTTTATTCATCTTAAAGTTCATTATTTGTATCGAAAATTAATAAATTAATCAAAAGTATTAAAAAAAAGTTGATTTCCTTGTGGACAAAACAAGTGCAACTCCACAAAATGTTGATTAAGCTGTATTTTGATATCAATATTTTGTAGCGAATCCTTTGTTGTCAATCACAGCCTTGCATCTTTGAGGCATAGATTCGATCAGGTGATCAATAAAACTTTGTGGAACCGCTGCCCAGGCCTTTTGGATTTGTTCAAACAGTTGATCCTTATTACGAACACCTTCACGATTAATTCTGCGGTTGACAATCTCCCACAGGTTCTTGATAGGGTTGAGATCCGGAGATTGAGGCGGCCAATCCATCATCGATTGGTGGTTGTCTTAAAACCACTGCTTGATTACTTATGGCAGTAACGTAAATCGAGGCGTTTTCCGGCCGGTCGACTTACACAGCAAATGCCAACGCTCCCAATGATGTTGAACTTCGATTCACCACTGAACAGGACAGTTCGCCATTTCTGCATATTCCAATCAATATGAGATGTAGCAAACAGGAATCTTTCCTTTTGGTTCTTTAGTGAAATCAGGGGTTTCTTTGCAGAGCGTCGAGAAAACAATCCATCCTCAACAGTACATCGTCTGATTGTTCGTCCGATACAGGCAGCTCTAATTGTTTTTGTATCTATGTTCCAAATATCGTTATTGTATAATAACGATATTTGGAACATAGTCTTGATACGGTCCATTTTTACACGCGATATTTATCACAAACATTTTTTTGTGACATTCCACTTACGTAATCGCGCATAATTTTGATTCTTAGTTCCAATTCAAGACTGTCGGGAGCTATTTTTGAAGTTGGTCATTAAAATAATAAAAATAAATAATCACGCTTTTCAAGGGTTACCGTGTTACATTTACCTTGTGATGATACAATAATGCTCTGTGGAACACAACGTCTTGGGTGGATGTGGACTGTATTGATGTAATGAAACACTTGTTGTATTTCACTTCTCGTATTGATGTTCTTCGATAAAACACTTTGATAAAACTCACTTTGATAAACTGTCTTGATAATACTGACTGATTGACTTCCATATACTGACTGAGTTACATCTCGGTTTACATGTCTCTTATATAGTAAAATGAACCTGTTGTGAACCTGTTCTGGAAGATTCTGGATGCTTCTTTTTTGATGCTTCTGGAAGCTTATGGATGCGTCTGGTACTTCTGAATGTTTCTGGATACTTCTGGATGCTTCCAGGTGCTTCTTCTGGAAACTTCTGGAAGCTGCTGCATGCTTCTGGAAACTTCTCGAAACTTCTGGATACTTCCTTTAATTAGGAACACTTTTTAGCATTGTTTGATGTTGGCTGCAAATGTTTTGTCCAATACTATATATATATATACATGTATATATATATATATATATATACATATACATATGTATATATATATATATATTTATATATAGCATGTTATTGTATTTCTAATTTTAAATACTGTATTTCTAATTATAAATACATTTTTTTTTTCAGCTTAGCCAAAATGGAGCCATTCAAATTTTATGGTAAGGCCAAAAATAAAGAACTTCACATTAGAGTTCCCCCAGTGGAGTGTGATGATAGCTGCCTTAGCAACAGTAATGAAAGTGATGAAGAATACAGTCCTACGGCTACACCTTTATTAACAGAGTCTAGCAAGTATAAAGGCCCAGAGAGCAACAACGATGAAGACTCTGACTGTCGTGTTGAAATACCGGTATCTGCTAGTACCAGTACTCTTGGAACAAAAAAGTAAACAAGTGCCATCAGATGGAAAAAACAAAAACTTGCCTGGCAAACAGTCAAGAATCAAAATTCTGCTAAAGAACTACTAATTTGGCAAGAAACTATCGAACCTGCTGAAGAAATCAGACAGCCAGTGCAATATTTTAGAGACTTTTGATAGTCAACTTTTGGCATTGTTGAGCAGAGCAACCTTTATTGCACACAACTAAACCCCAACAGATCACTTCGATTAAATAAAAGTGAATTAGAACAATTTATCGACACTGTGATCTAAATGATCAACATTCGCGTGGCAAGATCACGCATGTACTGGTCAAGCGAGTGTCGTGTAAAGCAAGTGGCTGACACAATGTCCAGAGATAGGTGGGAAGAAATTAAAAAAAACATTCATTTTAATGACAATACCAACCTTCCAGAAAACAGGGTAACAATATTGATAAATTATTCAAAATAAGGCCAATTGTTGATGCTCTTCTTCTTCTCTATAGATGAGCAGATGGCACCATTCAAAGGCAGGTCATCATTGAAACAGTATATACCAAAAAAGCCTTACAAATAGGGCTACAAATTTTTTCTACTCTGCGACACACATGGACTTGTTCATGCATTTGACATTTACACT